AGAGGAGGGGGAAAAGAGGAGGGGGAAAAGAGGAGAGGGAAGAGAGGAAAGGTATAGAGGTGGAAGGGGGCCGGAGGAGGGAGGAGCGGAGATAGCTGGGAGAAAAAAGAAATATCACTGGCAAAGGAGAGGGGGTGGGGGTGGAGAACCGGGGGAATATTGATTGTTTTGTTGCTATCGAGACCTGGAGAAGAAAGCTGACGCCCTCAGAGTGTCTACCTGGCTCTACACAGGCGGAAGGGTACCGGCAACAAACAGGGAGCGGGTCGGGGAGAAAACGACAAGCCAGGGGAAAGGAGGGGTGGAGGTAAAAGGAGGGAGGAGGAAGGATGAGGGGCAGGGGACGGGGGCGCTTACTTAGTTCTTTCCGATCTAATCGGAGCCAGGGATATGTTAAAGTACCTGTCGAGAGGGCGACCGCTGGCATGCAAAACGCTTGTAATAATAACGGAAGCCGTGTCTTGTTACTGAACTTCCAAATACCGCACTCTCACAAAGAAAACCAAAACGGCCCTGAACGAAACATGCTGGGCAAAAAAAAAAAAAGCTAAAGAGAAGAAAAAAAAATAATAGTATCACATAAAAATATTTTGCTAATGGAAGCCACCACTCTTATCATTACAAGTTTAGATTTTCAAGTGCCATTATTTTTTATTCTTTAAAATTGTCTACCTTCATCGTAACAGAACCTATCAAACTTGAATAGGTTTTAGACATAATATAAGACCTGGTATAAAACAGGGACAAACTATATCAAACAATAAAACAGAAAATCACATTGACTCTCTCTCTCTCTTTCTTTCATTCCTGTTTGTGCGTGCGTGTGTGCGTGCGTGCACGCATGTGTGTATTTCTCTTTAACACACACACACACATACACAATCCCTGTTTTCCAGACAAAACACTGTTTTATGAAGGACCCAGACCCTTGAAAGTGAACTTGTATATTCGATGAAAAGACAAAAAACGAAAAGTAATGAGATCGATTGCAAAGTGGTACGTTGTTTATACAGTCATCTTAACATCTTGAAGGACAAACAGTTATCTTTGAAAATAACCCTCTTACGATAGCATTTATTGAGTAGTTATTCCTCATTAAAAATGAACAATTCGGAAAAATGCGACTACACCTTTTTGCATAAGAAGCCAGACATGCTTAATTTTAAAAAAGCATACCCCAGAACTGGCACTCAGTTTTAAAGAAAACTCGATGGCCTAAAATAAAAAGTTTTCTTTTTCTTGTAGAATCAGCCAAGGCTGCTTTTAAAAAGAAGATTGGGCATAGACCATGGGGATGCTGATGAGGAATGATGTGATGAACTGTTGAACACGTAAAGGTAGAGGAGATTTTGAAAAGTGGAAGGGGAGTAGGCCACTTGATATCATTTTCTTCTTCAATAAAAAAAGGCAGTTAAAATTGCATAACTTTGGTAGTAAGTGAAAAAGGAAGCGAGATCCAGTTATGATTAAACTATTGTCATCTACAAAGGCATCACAGTTTTAAATTTGAGGGGAGATGGTAGGAGATCTCAAGAAAATGTCCTTGTTGAGACAGAAATCAAATTTGATTTATTGTTTCTGATCCTTGATATCTACTACAAGCTGTAAATAGTTTTCCGCAAACTAAGTCACAGGTCGCCTGTAAAACCGGTCCCATGACGCCACATCCCACAACTACATTCAACTTCTGAAATCTCAGCATAAATATTTCAATTGAGACAGATAAATTATTCAATTTGTCATTATATGATGAGGGAAAAACTGCTTTATTGAATCTAATAGAAGGTGCCACTGACTTTCACTCAACTTTTATTTATGAGAATCCAAAATCCACTGATTAGAACCTAAGTGCTGATACTTAGTAGTAGTTTGCAGAAACCCAGGACACAGTTATATTTTGAACCGATACGGAAAGAGGAAACTGGTACAAAACATAAGAAGCAATTGCATGACAACACCTATTGATAACACACATAAAGTTTGATGTGACAATATAGACATAGCAAATTTCTGTGAAAAACACCTTTAGGAAGTTATTGATCTGCCATTTTTCTGAGGCCTCAGTTAAAGACTACAACTAATGCATATAAACAAAACATGTATAGATTCATGGCTTCTTACATTATACCCGCAAATGAATCAGGTTTATCACCCCTGACTCCCTGAGAAGACAATCCTTAACACTTTGCCATCATATTTTGGGGGAAATCCAAAAGAAACAGGGTGGTAAACATCGCCAATCGGCGAGATGAGGCAGCAAAGCGTTAAAGTTCATCAGTAATAGGAAATATAAAAAAGCTAAAATGCATACTATCTAAACAACCAAGATTCAAGATTAACCAAATCAAAGATTTGTAATAGAGTTCTTAATATTTTTGGAAAATGTTTTTATAATTGAAATATCAGTCTCCCCTAAAAAACAAGAACAGATGTTGGAGACAGTTAAAGAAACTGCTAGTTACCCGCATGGAGTTTGTAACTGCAAAGTTGTATGGGCTGGTTGGGCAAAAGTTGACGTCTGTAATGGCACCATATTCTTTAATGATCACAGGAGTCTGAAAAACAAAATAAAGTAAAACGGGTATGATTATTATAACAAACCATTACAGGGAAAAAAATTAAATATATTTTTCATAAGCTTACGTTAACCGAGCATTGTATGATCTGCTCCATGACACCCCAAATAGACCTGAACCAAGACACAAAGTCTACAATATAATATAAAGCACAAATGAATTATAATTTCACTATACATTCTGTTATCCCATATGGAGATATAAATCATAATATTAACAAAAGATACAATAAAGTTCTGACACAGCACTGCCCGGTACACTTATAATTATCCTTGTCAAAGGTTAATGTACTCAACTCGCAGTAGTAGAGAAGTCTGAAGTCAAGCTATGGTAAGTAGCACCATAATATATCTTTAGCAAAGGTACTGTCTACTCTTTTCCTTATATTATGTACCAACAGACATCAAATGCAAACTTGACAACATTCAGAGATGGAAAAAATGGAATTATAGCACCAAGCAGCTAGCAATGGACGTAAATAAACGTAATGCATAATTACCCCTATTTTTGTACCCCAGGGCTTGTGTATTCTTCCATTTTAGAATACTTCTAGTGCGAAGATCTCTTTGAAACTTTCAGTATTTCTCAAAAATCATTTTGACTGACTGCTATGCAGGGCATACGGATCGGATCAACAAGTGAATTTCCTCTCTGGAAAGTGGTGGCACAGAGTTCCCCAAGTCGTATGGATACGATAGTAAAACACGACGTACGGATAGGGTTAAAAGCTTCTCATCAGATAATTTTCAAATGTATTCTTAGTTTTTAATAAAAAGATCGTTAGCTTAGTTTGTGTCATGCTGAGCTATGGCGTGGATGTCAGTGATTAAAATTCACTATGGAGTGTTTCTAAACTTAAGTTGTTTGGGGAGTTTTCAAGAATTTTTGCAAACATGACCCTGTCCTATCAGAGACAAACATTAAATTCGGATACCTAATCTCTAAAATAGCCCTGCACCACTGAAAAGGGCAGTAAACCATTGTCCATTAGTCATCATCATCATTGCCTTTTTCCCCCTGGATCAGGATATAGGCCACGGACAAACACTTTCCATCTTTCCCTATCCTGGGCCAGTCGCTTGATGTCACAGAAGCTCCTCCGTCTCCCAAGATGGAAAAATAATAAGGCGTGTTTGTTCTTGTTTCTATAATTTTCCGTCTCTTACTGGGTCGGGTAGTTGGCTCTCCGCAAACTGGCACTTTTCGGGCGACCAGACCGATGCACTTTTAGCCGCCTCTTACGACATGCAGTATCACGGCAGGGGTATTCTTTACTCCCCCATAGTAAAACTATGGGGTCCCCCACCTGCAGAGGCGAAACCATTAGCACATCCCATTAAAAGTGACTTGAAATCAGTTATACCGTTTATAAATTCAGATTTGGTTCACTATGGTGAGATTCCTGAAATATAGTTGCACATTCTAAATATCAAACTGGGACAAAAAGGGCAACAATTGAAGTAAGAAATCATATTATCATCAACGCAAAAGAACTGACATCAGTATTATTCATGAAAAGTTATTTCAAAACAGTTTGTGAAAGCATGATACGAATCAATGAGAACAGACTGGCAACCAGCCCTTCCTTGACATCAGCAGCGTTGCATTTTTTATTAGCATTTTTGGATTGAGGCTTCAGATTTATTTGTTTTTCCATGTGTTCACATTCCACAAGCATTATCTGAAGAAATATGTTCTTTATATTGTGCCCTGAGCTATATAAACATGAGCTTAGCTTAGAGCTACACAAGAACGTTTATCAGACCTGTCAGTGGGTTCAGATGTCTTAGCTCCTTATCTCCTTGGAAACCAGTCATTTCATTACACGGACATCTCGTCACACCACAATTATGTGTTACGAAATGACTTCCCTTGTCTCTCCAAAATTGTTATGCTAGAGGAATTTGGAAGGATCAGCGCTAGCAGTCTTTATTCTAAATCACCAATTCAAGCACGTAATTGTTGGACTGTGTCCTCTTGTTTTTAAGTAATTTAAGCCTAAAACTGCCCGTCTCCCCCCCCCCCCAACCATGCACATCAAACATGCATGTGCTCATGCAATGACTATGCTGAGGAAAATAAAACAATTCAATAAAACTCACCCAGTCAAGAATGGTGTAGACTCCACCCAACCCTCCCCCCAAAATCGTGATTTGCGATTGCCATGACAATGCGCGTTTGATGTTTGCAAGTATGTGACGAAATGACCATCTCCATTCAACTTTGTAGATTTGAGTTGTGATGAGATGACAGTGCATGTGACGTCTTGACTGCACTGGTGTGACGAAATGACTGCGTAACGAAAAGACTGGTACTCATCTCCTTATATTTGAGCACTCTAAAGGTGGTCGGGGCCATCATGGGCAACTGTTTACCTAAGAAACCATGTTTCCTCGGAAAAGTTTTGAAAAACAAAGAACATTTTTATACAGCAAGCTGTATGCGAACTATATCATGATCCCAGCAGACTATAGAACACACAGAAACATTCTCAGCTTCCAAGGAAGCATACATATCAAGCAGCTGATTAAGCGCTCAAACAATAACAAATTGACAAGATCTTTCACTGTCTATAGCTAGGTACCCATTCCCATCTGGGTGAAGTGAGGAAAATTCATATAAGGTGCCATTCCCAAGGACACTACGTCGGGTACCTGACGGGATTCAAACTCACGACCCCACGGTTGCGAGTCTGAGAGCCTAATCAATGGACAAAGATGAGAGCGATAATTTCAAGTCAGCAGTCAAAGGGTTAAGTACTCATTTTGTTGTTAACATGATCACTGTTTAACAAGTATGATACACATCAAAAACACCAAAGAAAAGCTAATTTTTTACATTTATAAGGATTTATTATACTTATATTTGTTCTTAACTTTTTAAATTTTATTTTGCAAACTCCCTGAGGTTCTTCTGAGTTGAATGCATGCTACGAAAGAAAAAGAAAAACATTCTAAAAGAACAATGTTTTTTAGTTTTAGTAGAGTTTTTACTACACTTGCAACTGCACAAAAGTCATATGAGTGTCAAAGGGTGGATGTCAACAAAAAAATCTTAACAGGAAATCAGGCTTACTCTGCCCTCTCTCTAGTGTCTAGTTTCAACAGCACAAAGTCTGCTTCGACTATCAAGGCACCCTGGAAATAGAGGGTCACAAGAGTGTGACAAATATACAAAAGAAGTAGAGGACAATGACGATAGTAAGGATTACAAAAGAAAAAGCAGCAGTTCCTTGTTGCAGTTCAGGCACAGTTATGAGCATGACATTGATGAATCAGTCCATTTTCAATTCTACTGTACATAAGAACATGTTAATGTCCCCCCCCCCCCCCCTTTGGGAATGGCCTAAAGACATTTCAGTTAGTAGCACCGCCCCGGGAGGTTGAACGATGTTTGAAAATTGATCACAAAGTAAAAGCAAAAAAAATAAAGTACTCAATGATTCTTTGAAACCCCCTCTGACAGGACAGTGAGATGCGTCCCAGCGTTCAGATATCAGTGTATAAAAGAAGCGATGGGTTGGAAAATAGTAGGTTAAAAAAATGTCACACTTTGGGCTAGTTTCTGTACGGCAACTCAAATTTTGACCCATATAGGATAGGCTAGCACTTTTATTGTTGTTCATTTTTATACGTTTAACACAAATACTGACATTATATTCATCACAAATTCCTATTAACCTTTTAAATAGTTGATGATTTTATTTCAACTGTAGTTCGTTGAGCTGCTATGGTAAGCATATTGTGTATACTTGTAATTTTGGAATATATTTCTATGCTTTGACTTCGGACCAGTCCAATTCGGGATGTTTCAGCGATCAGCAGCATATGGCCTCCTGAAGGTTAAAAAAAGGCAGCCGCATGGCCTTCTAAAGTATAGATTTAGATCTAATTAAATATGCTCACAGCCTTGATAGCTGGACTGCGTCACTTTATCGATCGATATCTCGGCCAAGAGACCGTCTACAAGGAGAAGATAGCTTGCGAAGTCATTGGTCACTATTTATAACTTTGACCTGTAATTTAAGTACGCCATTTTCCATATATATAGGAATACTGAAAATTTCCTTTGAAAAGGATCAGCGTCTATGCCCTTTATATTGGGCCTCCGCGCTTCCCGGTCGAAGTAGGTCAGCCATATGTGTATATATATATATATATATATAGGGCCTGTGCGTTTCCCGGGTAGCCCGGCTCACGCCCTTTATAGGGCCTGCGTGCTTCCAGGGCTAAGTCTGTCCACTTGTAGTTTCCGGTTTAATAGTTTATGTGCCGCCAACAAAGCCTAGATTATCATGTGAAGTGGAGGGCCATACACATAGCCTCGATGCTATGACTACGGGAGCTGTATGCATAGCAACTTCGGAAAAAAATATCTGGAGGGTACAGGAGGAGGGGGGCGCGCACTCGTCTGTTTTTTTCAATATATTGAGATTTTACAATTAGGGAGGAAGTTTTCAGGAAAATAATAGACCTACAGTCTACATTTGCGACAGGTTTTAGTCAGCCATGCTGACTCAATCTTGCAGCAAAAAATATGGCTTGACTCTGATCCCCATTAAAAACAGTATAGATCTAGATTATGTCATCTGTGAGCGGGAGCGAAGTAAAAATTTACCTAATCATCTTAAAGACTTGAAGCTAATCTATTATATAAATAACTAACAATAAACATCATCCCAAATTACATAGAATTTTCAAAATAGCAGAAATAGACAGGTATCCAAACATGTGACTAAATGAAACATAGAACGACGCAAACTATTTTTAGGTATGGCGGCCATATTGTGTGACGTCAGACCCGGATACCCCTCCGATAACGGGACTACATCTTAATATAGTTTATATAGCCAACCGCCTGTCACCAAAGATCGTGTCGAATCTTTGATGGCACGGCGCCTTGGGGCTAGATTCTGTTTTTCCAGAAATACCGGTAGGCCTAAGGTGATATGATGCGGTGCTCGGATGATGCTGCTGCTTATATGATCTCTTTTGTGCATTGTTTATCGCGCCCGAAGGGGGGGGGGGAGGGCGGGGGGTCTTCCGGCGTCTTTCCGCGCGCTTTATTGTCTTTGCGTTTACTGTGTTTCAATTTCAAGCATCACTACCGGAATTCTGAAATGCTATATTAACATACCGGAAGCCTTGTAACCAATCAGTAGAGCAAGGCTGACAGGCTGCAGTTAGCAACAAGTGTGAAATTTTACAGTGCGAAACATATCGATACGGAAAATACGTCAAGCCACTGACCAAACATGTTGTTCCACGCGGTATCTCCAAAGATTCTCTACTACACAATCTTTGGTATCTCCAAAGATTCTCTACTACACAATCTTTGGTATCTCCAAGGCCTTCTAAAAATTATAGTCTGTGGGTATCCTAGGATGTGATGACATCGCATTACTAAAGGGTAGCATCAATTGCCACCGAGAGACGCGGTGGCAAAAGACGCTGGTGTCAATTGCCACCAAGTGATGTGGTATCAAGTCTGAAAACAACGCTTTGTCTTAGCTTTCTATTCATAATGTGTTATGAACACATGACAATCTAACCCCCTCTCATTAGATCTAGTTGATAAAAGTCATAACGAGTAGTTACACACATTCCTGGGTTCGAACGTCTTGTACTCAAATTCTTCTTTTTACCTACACAAAGGTATTCAAAACTATCTATGAACTTATTTTTATCAGGTAATCATATTGCATAAATTCAAGTTCACGAAAGATTTTGTGTACAGTAAAATGGAAGTCTTGTTTCCTGGCTCTCCTTTTGAGCTCATCTCATCTAAGTGGGTCAATTTGTTCTCTTCTTCCTCGTTCTTGATGAAAGCAGCTAGACAGTCAGTCCAATGTTGCGCACAAACTGTGCAGTTCGCTTCAAATCTGAGAGACTGCCATAGAGCTTTCTCTCAAGGGGAGTCACGTCACTCTGCCACGTCTGTGTACGAAAGGTGGTGTAGCGTGGGCAGTGCTGAAGGATATGGTTGGCATCCTCTTGGTCGTGTCCACATTCACAGATCGTTGACTCTCCCACTTTTAATTTGGTGTGCATTATGGTGTTTGAGTCTGTTATGGCCACAACGGAGTCTAAAGATTGTGACCTGGTCTGCTCTATTTAGTATCATGTAGTAGGGGTCACATCTGTTGTGTTTAGAGTGGGACCTTTTCCGTCTTTTCCTTAAGGCAGATTTTATTAGTCTTTTTGACTCTGAGAGATCCATACCATCTCTAATTTCATTGGATGAGCATCTAGAGCTACCAACTTCAAACTTGGCGTGTTTCGAATGAGACGTACACCTAGGCTAACCTACGCTTCGTTGTAGCACCAACACAGGCAATTCTAGAAGTAGGCCACAAAAGCACACAAACTCAAACAGAAATTATAATATATATGGAACATAAATCCGGGGGACAGGGGTTAGGGAGAGAGAGAGAGACACACACACACACACACACAGAGGGACAGAGAGGCGTGTGTGTAAGCGGAAGTTCACGAGCGCAGAACACTAAGCACACATGTATAGGGGGATCATAGGCTAGATCTACTCAGCAACGCAAAAGAGTTCCAATTTACTCTGGGGCAATTGACGTCGGTGTCAACTGTCACAGCGTCATTCGGTGACAATTGAATTGACACTACCTTACTAAAATTAGCCGCCAATCAGGCACATGTGTCATTCTACGTTTAGCCGCATGTATCTAAATCTCTACTATAGATCTAGACTATTCTAGATCTAGATATCTAGAATCTAGATTTTAGTATCCGAATTCTGGTGATCTTGTGGTCCCGTTCGTTAAAGTCCACGATCCATTTGTTTACGGAAGTGGCTATTCTCATCCGGGTTGAGAATAGAAAAACGATCTACCTCTCACCCCGGGTGAGACTTGCCAGCGTAGGCTATTCTCACCCGGTGCGAAACAAGACCTGCTTTTCCTCATTTTGTCTATCGGTGTGGATGATCAAATTGATAAAAGCCAAGAAAAAATTACGTTATAGCACAAAAGTAAGCTAATTTGATCGTCTTCAAAGATGCTATGGCTATTTCACTGTTCGAATCGAGCCGAACTACGCGGGTCGCCCATTTTCTTTTGCCCGGAAGTTCTCGCAAGATCTACTCCTCCCCCCTCTCTCTCTCTCTGTGTCTCTTTCTGAATACTGTCTATCGGTGTGGACGATCAAATTGACCAAAACAAAGTTTAAAAATGATGTTAAAACACAAAAGTAAATTAATTTGGTTGTCTACAAAGATGCTACGGCTATTTAACTTTTCGAATCGAGCCGAACTACGCGGGTCGCCATTTTGTTTTGACCGGAAGTTCTCGCGCTAGCCTACTTCTCTCTCTCTCTCTCTTCCTCTCTCTCTCCACTGCCCACAGACAAAATTGTAGGCCTACGGTTTTAGTAGGCTACAGTTGTAATGGAACGTTTGTTCACGGCACAGAATTCTACAATTTTTCTGTTATCACAGTGTAGAATTCTGTGGTTTAGGGTGAACGCAAAATTTGTTGGCCTAGATCTAGGCTATAACGGTGAACGCGCACCGGGTGAGAATAGCCAAAAGACTGGCGCTTTTTCGGTAGTTCCCACCCCGCAATTTTATTCACGGGTTTGGGCCACAAGAGTAGGGGGGTTTCAGGGGGGCTTGTCCCCCTGACCTAATAAAAATAGGAAGGGGGGTTTCAGGGGGGCATGCCCCCCTGAATTTTACCATAATTTAATGTTTTGCAGTTGTTAGGTTTGATATCTTAGCTCACCGTGAATCAAACGTATAGATCTAGATCTAGATGTAGGTCAGGCTCAAATAAGGGGGGTGGGAACTACCGAAAAAGCACCAAAAGACTCGCCTGCACTATTCTCATCCCGGGTGAGAATTGAGGTGGTCTTTGTTTACATCCAAAGCCAGAGAAGAAATCCAGAGAAGTCTTGATACTTGATGACCAATAGGAAACACAAAGATCAGGGACGGAGGTAACTTAACTGCAAAACATCAAATTATGGTAAAATTCATGCCCCCCCCCCCCCTGAACCCCACCCTCCATATTTTTATTAGGTCAGGGCCTTGACTTAAACAAACGAAACTACAAAATCACCGGACCATGCCAGTCACGTTTCCGACTTGCAAGTGTAAACACAACCACTCAATTTCTTGACTGCTTCATTAAAAATCGATATTATCTTAAAATAAATCTTCCATTCGACCTATGTCCACGTGAGTCACTGGTCTTACCTGCAAATTTTTCCAGTACAGTCCATCTGGGGTTGTTTTTTCTTTCGATATTCGTGCTTGCTGGATACTCGTTTTCTTGAAGGAGGTCGCCATTTTGTAAACCTGAGTTAGGAAGAATAGTTTCCCCTTCGCTTCCGGTTTCTGGTCTTTGCAGACAAGTCTGCATGTTTAAGCCACTGTTTCGTATACAATAAAGCTGATTTATTTGATTTATTTTGTTTTTATATTTGTTAATCGGCTTATTTGATCAATTCTTTTATCAAAAAATATTTTGTACCAGTTTGACTATCGATTCAATTTCAATATGATCTCAACAAGCTGTTTTTTATTCTTTATATTGCCTCCCAAAACAATCCAGCGAAAAATAGGTCAAGCGCCCTGCGCGGATTGGAAAGAAAACTTCTCCAGTCGCGAGATACGTCACACAGCGCATAAATTAATTTCTCCTCGAATCATGGGCCCTCGCGGCGGGATAACATTATTTGATAAAGAGTGCAACGAAATCGGCTGGAGCATCGGTCCGCCGTAAGCACCGCCTCTATTGTGTAAAAAGACGCACAGTAGTTGGTCGGATTAGAATCGCGATGGATCAGTCCGTTAGCGGATCGGACATGAATCTTGTGAGTAAACTAGCTCATTTTAGAGAATTGAGGAGGAATTTTTCCGCAGTTTGTTCTTCTGAAGCTTGTTTATTGTGGAGATACATTTTGCGTTCAGGACTTGTACTTCGAAACTGTTTGTTTTTTTTGGTTTGTTTGTTTTTCAACACCGGATTTATCTAATCTATTCTTACTCTTTGTCAATTATTGTATACTTAATTTTCATCAATACTTCGGACTTTGATCAAATCAGAGTTTGGCAGTCAATGCCTGTGGCGTTATTAATGCTTTTGTGTGCTTCGAGTTTTTGAAAATGGAAAGTTGTTCGTTTGTTTGTTTGTTTTTGTTTGCTTGCTTGTTTATTTGTTTGTTTGTTTGTTTGTTTGTTGTTTTTAATTTTATATTTTATTAGTATCAATTTTTAATGGTTTAGTTTGTTTGTTAAGTGGCAAGTTTTTCGATAATGTATTAAATTCAATAAGATAAAATTACAAGTTTAAAATTTGCTCAAATTCTATTTTTTATATGTAACTCTTTGCTTTTGTTTTATTTATTTATTTATTCATTTATTTTGTTTTGTATTGAATTCGCATAAATGTCAGGAGATAGCTTGATGTGGATTGTTTTATTGTAGTTTTCCTTGTTTGTTTGTTTGTTTGTTTGTTTGTTTGTTTGTTTGTTTGTTTGTTTGCTTGCTTGTTTTTGCTGCTGATTCTTTATCATTATTCTTTTTTATTCGGTG